ACCCACCCACTCGCCGGCTCCGGGCTTTCGCCGGCACCGCCACCCGCAGCCGCGCGGCTGCCAGCCCGTTCCACGCCTTGCCGCCCTGCGCCGACTCGCCGCAGCCAAAGGGAAACGGAGACAGAAGGGAAAAAGTTGCAGTTTTGGGATTCCGAGGGTCGGCGCTGGGGAGGGAATGTTGGCGAGCTGGCTGCGCGACACGAAAGGCGTTCTCGTTCCACTTTTTGGCCCTTGTGCTGCCCGGTTTTGCTGCAATGTCCTCCGCGGGAGGAAGTAAAACGAACGCGGCCGAGGTGACCAGGGGATGCTCCCCAGCCTGGGTGAGGGGCGCAGGCTCGCGCAAGGGGGACCTGGGGACAGAAGCGCACAGGAGCCCCAGCGGGTAGCAGGGGACTCGGGCCGAAGACGTACGGACCTAGATCTGAATGGCACTTCTTTGGGTTATCGAGAGTCCCGGGAGCGGGGCTCAGCTGGGAGGGGACTGCGGGGCTTGCATGGCACGCTTGGTGCCCCAGAGCCTACTGCGCCTTCTGGGCGGCGCGTTTTGGGTTCCGCCTTGGGCTAGCTGAGAGCGGAGAAGGAAGACCAGGGGGAATGAGCGCCGAAAGGAAAGCGCTGGAGAACGAGGTGGTCCGGGGCGAGCCGTGCAAGCGAGAGAAACGGCAGGGAAATTAAGATGCAAAGGGCATTTTTTTTGGCAAGCGCCACACCAGCACCGTTAGAAGCCGGCTTTTTGGGCTCAGCCCTTGGGTGCGCTGAGCTGGCTGCCGGGTGAGGGGGCGGGCTGCTTTCTCCGGATTTGGGGGGCGCAGAACCTCCCTCCTTCCCTCCCCCACAAACACCCCTTCCTGGTAGCGGCGCAAAACAGGTGCAGCCTTCGACGCAAGTTTAGATCCTGTTGGGAGAGGAGGATGTCCCCTGCTTTTTGCCTTGATAGGGCTTTTTTCTTTAATAAAATGTAAAGATGCCAAATGTGAGCTGTTTCCTGAAAAAGCCTGGAGCGTTCTCTGTGGGAAAGGAAAAGAAAGGGTTAGGAGAGTCCGAGCAGGCAGACACACTACAGCATTCACATGCAGAAGAAAGCAGCGCTCTCCTCCCGAGCTTGGGTGAGGGCAGGCGAGGAAGCAAAATACATTGAATTCAACTGCATCCTGGATCTGAAAGGATTCTCCCCCGCCCCCCTGTGGATTCCGATGCAGGTCATGCAATTTGCAGTCAAGATGGGGGAAGGGGTATGTGGTGCCACCAGCCTGCCCCTGGGGCAACCACAGACAGGCCCTGATGTCTTCCCGTGGCACTTTAGCTGGGAGTAAACTTGGATGAAAAAAGGAAAGAAAAGAACATGTCTATAAAAGGCAGTTTCCCAGACTTCCCATCTTATTCCGCCTTCCCTTAGCCTCAGTGAGACTTTTACCCCTATCGCCATGATGGCCTGGCCCCCACAAAGGCATTTTGCCCTCCCACCAGCAGGAGGGGACAGAGTAGAGACAGTCTTGGACTCTCAAACCCGTTCCTACTGGCCCTAGGCCAGTCTTTGGTGTCCTTATCCGATGGGACTCTCCCTGCCTCTTCAAGTACCATTTTGAGTGACTTTGGGGTTATCTGAGAGGCAGGGAGACTGAGGTGTAGTCGGCACTCTGGAGCTTGGCCTTTCTTGGGAGATGGCAGCAGGGAAACCGAGCTTTTCCTAGAGCACCCCAGAGGAGCTGGAGTAAGCAGACTGCCCAAGTGGATTTAGCAGAGCTTTAACCTGGAATAAAACACGATTGTGTCTTCAAAAGTGCCCCACTCATCTTTTAAAGACAGAGATGGTTTTTAACATTTCCTGCAAAGAAGGGTAGATAACCGTACGGATTACAAATAGACTTCAGAAACCCCCTTGAGAGAGTGAAAATTCAGACTGTAAAACAAGGGGCTCTGATGGGACAAGAAGTCTTTCATTTTTGACAGTGAGATGAAATTAAGATGGGACGCTAGGCTCATGCTGGAACTCTGAGCCTGCTCAGGAAGTAGAGCTTCCAAGGAAGAAGGCCCTTTTGTAAGTAGATAGATGGCAAATGGGAAGAGCAGAGTTCTACTTCTGACCATGTGACCATGGGCAAAAGACTTACACCTTCTGGATCTCAGCTTTCACATACATGAAATGATCACACTGGGCCAGATCTTTGCTCCCCTCTGTCTGGTGGCCTCCGAAGCCTCTGGAAGATTTTGACAAATGCAGCTCCTTAAGGCCTCTTAAACCAAAGCATCCATTTTAACAAGCTTCCCAGGTGATTCGCAGGCACACAGGGCTCCAGAGCCCCTCCAACTTGAATCATCTCTGGTTCCGCATGAGCCTGGAGTGAAGGAAGAAGGATTGCATGGGAGTTCCCAGTAGCATCCAGTCAGAATAAAATAAGCTGAGTATCTCAGGTGCGAAAACAGACCTTTGGGGCTACCAAGAGGGCTGTCAGTCAAGTGCTTACCAAACACCATGTAAAAAGTGAGGCTCAACACTGACACTGTGCACCTGTAGTCCCAGTGCTGGGGAGGGAAACAAGAGGATCCCTGGGGGTTGCTGACTAACCAGAATCAGTGAGAGACCCTGTGTCAAAAAGTGGAGCTCAATTGAGGAAGGCATCAAATGTCAACCTCTGGCCCCCACATTTGTCCTCACATATGTGCACACATGCACACACACACACACACACACACATACACACACACAGCAGATCTTTGAACTTTCATTGCTGTGCATTTCCTACAGCCCACAGAAGTCATGCTGGGCTAGTCTTAACCTCAGAAATGAGCCAGAGTTGAGTGAAGAAACAGTACAAAGTCCCCAGAGTAGACACCTTCCTCTCAGTCAACAGGAGTTCAGAGTATTTGGGGTGTCTTATCTTGCTAAGAATGTCCTGGTGACAAGGAAGAATGCCTGTCATATTATCCTGAATCCTCCAGGTGTGGCCAACACCCTGTCCTAGAGAGACCCAGGTCAGCATCCTGCCAATCAGAGATAATCTGCCCCATCTCTTTTGCTGCCAGATGGAGTCTCATAAATGAGGAAGCTCACCAGTATATCCCCAGCTGACCAAGAATGGGCAATGATATTTTTTCCAAACAAATACAAACCTTTAAAAAAAAATTTTACAGCTAAGCTGATGCCTTCTAGAGGCAAAGATTTAGACATTTCAAGGGTTTCCCAAGATTCCAATGAGGCCAGATGGGGCTGCTGACAGGACACAGGGGTCCCTACTTTCTAGACATCTAGAAAAATCAAGTACATATCTCTTTCTCAAAGAGACCTGCTCCAGGTATGTGAGCACCTAAGATGTCTGCTTGGCCATTTGTTGATGAGGGATTCACAGCAGTTCAAATTCCCTGCACCTAGGAAGGGAGTAGAAACTCAGAATAAAGTCACAGCAGGCTAAACCCAGCAGCCATCATCTCCCAGGGCCTCCACTCATTGCTGATACCTGCAGGCATACTGGACACCTGAGTGCCTTTCTGACCTAGGCACATCCCCTTTTCCAATGGAATCACATTTCCAGGTCAGTGGCCATATTCCTGGGACGGTGGCCATGCCCTAGGCATTGTGGACCCACTTATTATTACTCCTATGATGTCAGCCTGAATCAAGGAGCCATGCTGTGTTAACTTTCTAGCTTCTACAGAAATAAGATCCAGTGTTCTAAGTGAGAGCTGGGCAAGGAACTGTGGTCCTGAGTAGTGACTGGGAGGAGCACCTGAGAAGACAGAGGAAAGACTGGGTTCTGAAAAACTTGCCGTTCCAAATAGCTGTATGGAACTAACAGGGCAGAGCTTATGCTAGATGAAGAGGGCTATTACCTGGGTGGCCCCCTGCCCAAGATGCCAGAGAAAAAGGCCTGGTTGGAGGCTAAGGCTCTTCAGGAGGTCAGAGGCCAAGGGAATAATGTCAGCCCTGTGAAGATGGACAAGTCAAGTACCAGAGTCACTCCACAAAGCAGAAAAATCTAAGCACAAGAGACCCCAGCTCAGGACCCCCATTCAAGTCCCAAGACCTTAGACAGACACCTACTAGAAGATTGGAGTTACTTGCTGGTGGGGTGCAGAGTGTCCTTGCCTCTTGCTCCTGTCCATTAAAGAAGGTTCCTTGATAGGAGTGCATGGAAGAGGTCTCAGTGACTCTGTAACACTGTTCTATATGCCCTGAAGATCAGACCCACAACCTCTCTGGATTGAGAAAGACCTTGCAAGTCATCCAGGACCACCCCACTTGCTACAGAAATATCCCTCAGCAGCATACCCCAGTTTCTTGGCTGCTCCTGCTTGAACACCCTTGGGTGCAGGAAGCTCACTCCGCCCAAAGTCTCCCACTTCGTTTCAGGCAGCCTTATTCCTTGGGTGGCCTTCATTTTGAGATAATGAGCCAGCCTCTCTAAAGCTTTCACTCTGGTGCTGATCCTGAACCCCAGAGTCTTTTCCACAAAACAAGAAGCTGCCTGTCTCTCATCGTTTTTCTCAGCACAGTACCGCAGTCATTTATACTGCAAAATCACAGTTTTCTGGGCCTTTTGGGCTTTCCCCACTCTGGATATAGTAATGCATTCAAGTTTGTCAATGGCTTTAGATCCTACAGGCTTCTGGTGATCCAACTCTGGAAGCCCAAGCCGTAGGAAGCTGTCATGAGATTAGGGCATCTTGTCACTGACCCAAAGTTGAATTTACCCCTAATAAGTGTCTGTGCCACAGTTTTCCTCTTCTTCAGCAGTCTTTTACTCACAAAGTACTATAATGTAGTAAGGCACATTGGACAGGGTCAGCGTGTGTGTGTGTGTGGGTGCGCGCGCGTGTGTGTGTGTGTGGGTGCGCGCGCGTGTGTGTGTGTGTGGGTGCGCGCGCGTGTGTGTGTGTGTGGGTGCGCGCGCGTGTGTGTGTGTGTGGGTGCGCGCGCGTGTGTGTGTGTGTGGGTGCGCGCGCGTGTGTGTGTGTGTGGGTGCGCGCGCGTGTGTGTGTGTGTGTGTGTGTGTGTGTGTGTGTGTGTGTGTCCCTTTTGAGAGTTCCTAAAGGTTTTACTGCCCCATCCCAGAAGCTTCAGCAGCTGTTACCCACCAATGGTGGAACCCATTGCCTCCACAAAATTCATCCCACATACAGTTGGTGTGAGATGCTGACAACAGCCATAATGCTCTGCAACAATTGGAATTTTTGCCACTAGAGGGCATCCAGCAAGCCCTGGGTTCCAGGAGAAGTAGGCACAGAGTACAGGGGGTGCATCTCCCCCTGAAAAGTATTCCTTTTCCTGTCCCTTGCCAGTTGTCACCTGTTCATTGCTCTGCCTGAGTAGAGGAGATGGCTTTGGTCTCTGTTGCAGAAAGCAGCCCCTGCTGAGTCACTATAGCCTATGAACAGTTGGGCTAGGTTGAGAATTCAATGCAGTGAGGTTGCCACCAGCCAGTATGTCCTGGTGGAGGCCCTGACCCAACAGATACCCAAATGCCTACTGCAGACAGCAGCTGGTGGACACTGCTGATAGGCAGGGCAGCCAGGAAAGAGGCCACTCCCATTCCATGTTCTGCTTCCTAAGGAGTAGAATACAGAGCTATGGATCCTGCCACTGGGAAGTGGGAGGAGTGTTTCCTTCAGGAAGAAGGTATGACAACTCACTGACAGGCACTCAAGGGAGTTAAGAGGCTGGGAGGAACTTGCCCTGCCCCTAGAGTACACACCCACCCTCTTTTGTGGACACAACTCCCCCAGGAGCACCCAGTCCTTTGCCTCCTCATTGATTCAATCCAAGGGCAGCCAGAGGAGGGAACCAAGATTGGTAAAAAGGAGAAAGAAGTCTGGGTGTCTTCCTGATCCCCAATAGAACATTCCTCTTATTCTATGCTTTAAAATTTCAGTTTCCTGGGACTATAACCCTTTCTAGTTTCTCTACTGATTTTCCAGCCCCTTAAAGCTGAGGACAGGTCAGGGCTTCTGCAGGCACGGGCAGGTGAATGGTTGCCCCGCACCTCTGTCTGTCCACACATGTATGAGTGAGGGTTTAGCGTCTATGTCCCCCGGACTACAGGTGCCAAGAGAACAGAGTTGTTGTGTGTGGCTTTGTATGCCTTCCCAAGCCTACTTTCCTGTTAGCCCAACAATGGACACCACACATTTGGAGAGAGGAGAGGCCAAATGAAAGCTTGTATTGCCTGGAACCTCAGGTAGGTCCACTTGTAAAGTTAGGTTTGAAAAGAATGGGACAGCTTGACCTGATCATGTCCTCTTATCCCGAAATTACAGGCTTTTCCATGACAGGGAAAATAACAAGAAGTTTCTAGAAGCAGAAAGCTTAGTAGCTCTGTTCTCAGAGTCAGGAGAAGGTTGGAGAACAGCAACTTCCAGGACAATACACTTGCCACACTTCCTGATGGATCCTGGGGCACAGCCCAGGCCCAGCATCCCCACAATGGTGGCCTTAGTCCTTCAGAAAGCCAAAGCTTTCCTCTGAGCCATCATCCCACTTCAGCCTTCACCATCTCCTGGGTCACCACTGCTCCGTTTTCCTTTTCTGCCAAACTGCCCACGTTTGCTCACTTCCAGGCTTCTACTCTGCCATTGCCACCTCCCACAGCTGCCCTTCTCTGCACCTGCTCCCCACTGAGCAGTCTGTGTCACACCTTCCCCCTGGCCTGGCCCTGGTCCTTTGGCTCAGACTATAGAACGTTGACTCTCAGGCCCAGTTCTGTACTAATCCATTCATTTAGCATCGTGAACACATTGGGCCATATCACCTTGAGCATAGTACTTTGCTTCTCTGATCCTCTACTTCCTTCTCTCTAACATGAAGGATCATTGATCACAAAGATCAATAAGACAACACATGAAAATACCCTATGGACATTCAACACTGCCCACATGACAGCACATGATTCCATTTACATGTCACTTCTGAACCACCACCCACCTATTCAGTTACCAGATGACTTCTGGGGCAGGGGAAGCCAAGGAAGGGGCTTCCAGCCACGTAAGGCATCGCCCCTCTCTCTTCTGAAGGAAACCGAAATGTGAAGCTTAGCCCTAGGCAATCCTGGTCAAACTCCAGTCCTTGCACTTGCTAACTAGTGACCTGGACATACCTTGCACCTTGCTGAGCTCCAGCTTCCCCACCCACCTGGTCTTCATGTCACGGTGTTCACAAACTGCTTTCCCCCTCACTGGAAGCCATCCTGTCTTCTGTTTCCACAAAGGAACAGGTGTCTCCAACCACCCCCAAGGACTAAGGAGATGATGCCCAAGCGCCTCAGGCTCAGCGAGGAAGAGACCAGATACTTGCCAATGAACCTGGGACTCAAGTACTCATCAAATCTGCTCTAATTTTCTTCCAGCTCTGACAATTATTCAGAGAAGCATATACACTGTAAGTAGCTATCATGAGCAAATGGGAAAGCAATAATAATAATATAATAATAATAATAATAAATTTTATTTGCTGAGATACCAGTATGGGAATTAGGGGAAGCATCGTGTTGGGAGGAGGGGGCACAGGCAGCCATGCTTGCCTTTGGAACTAAGAGACAGCTCCCTCCCACAGACTTTCTTCTGCATCCTCCACCCCCTCCCCAGCCCACAGCACCAGCTGCACTGCCTGGGAACCAGGGAACAAAAAGCCCAGCCCAGGGAGTTCCTGGATGGGGGGTGGGACAGAGAGAGAAGGTGGCAGTAAGTGGAGGTGCAAACCAACCCTAGTGAGATCAGGCTGCAGCCTGGTCAGCTTTCAGGGCTATGGGGTTATGTACAGTATGAGAGGGGGTCCCAGAGACCCAGCCTGGAAACATACACAGCAAGCACCATGGGTTCATCCAACCAGCAAAAGCCAAGATAACCCTCCGAAGTTGGGGACACCCCATGATCCTCTTGGATTCCCTTTTCCAGGTATCGAGTTCAAAAGCTTCTCTTGGGACTCCAAGAAAGGCAGCCCAGGAGCACAATCCTATTCCTGGAGGGCTGTAACATTTTCCCAGTGTCCAGGTGCCCTGTGACAGATGCTTTCCCTGTGTCTTCCTTTGACAAGGGCTACTCTCCCCCTGCCCAGCCTCTGCTGGAGGGAACAGGGAGGCCATGTCCAAAGAACCCTGGCCCCGGGGTTCTTTGACTTTCACACAGAGTTCACAGTTACCCCTGAGCTCAGTACTCCACTGTGTTTTCAGTAAAGTGAAGCCATCCAGAGGCTGGGTCATAGTACATCATCCCCATGATCCTGGGGTCCCAAAGATGAAAACTGGCAGGATGACAGTGGCAATTATGATGTTAACTGCAAACATAAAGCAGTGACTGACTTCTGTGTGCAACTTTGCATGTATTCTTTATGTTCACGATGTCATTGAATCCTCACAAATGCTTTGCTTCCAGATGAGAAAACAAGATTCAGAGAGGTGAAGTCACTTGTCCAGGGTCACACAGCTGGTGTGCTAGTCTTCAGCCCGGGTATTCTTAAACAGTACAACCACTTCTTACATTAAGCTGCCCCCTAGTGAGGCAAGGAAGGAAGCTGTCTTTTTGCACCAAGTTGCTATAGGAAAGTGAAGGGAAGGGAGACAGAGCTGTGATCTTCTGATCTTTGGATGGAACCAGGGCTAGCATGGGCTTAAGGGGGGAGCATGAGCTAATCAGTTCAAAGTCTTTCCATGGGCACGTCTCCCCTAGTGTCCCACCAACTCCTCTGCAGATTCCAGCAGGCCATCTTACTCCCGGCAAAGGCCAGGGATTGTGGAGGTAGCTTTGGCACAGCAGCCACATTGAATATACTATCCAAGCATCTGTAATAAACAAATCAATAATGAAGAGAGGAGGCACATTAGCCTTTGTACAGGTTCCAGAGAGAGTTTAAAGTGTGAGCTTGAAGCCTGGGGGAGAATATGGACAGTGACAGATGGGGAGAAAAAGGGGTTCGAGGAAGGGAATGAGCTACCCGTGGGTCCACTGGGGACATGGGCTGAGACTGCCAAGAACATCCAGCCACTGGCGAGTCCGAAGGTGTGGGGCAGCACCAGTGAGTACAGTGAGAGAAAGGTGTCAAGTGGATTCTATACAAGAGCAGAGGCACCCACACAGGGCTGGGTGTGCATTTGTGGGTGCAGAGGGGGAGGAAGATGCAGACAGAGCAGTGTTCGTGGGCAGTTATGTGGGATGAAGACAACCACCAGGACTGGAGGTGTGATTATCACTGTCATCTTGCCTGGATTTAGAATCTCCTAAGAGACACTCCTCTGGGCATATCTGTAGGTACTTTTGCAGAGAGGCTTACCTGAGGAAGGAAGACCTGCTATGAATTTGAACAGCACCATCCCATGTGCTGGAGGCCCAAAATGAAGCCAGACGAGCACCAGCATTCGTCTCTCTACTTCTTGGCTAGATGTGACCAGCCCACCTCACAGGCCCACTGCCTTGCCTCCCCCACCACGATGGACAGTCCCCCTCAAACCACGAGCCAAAGCAAACCCTTCTTTCCTTAAGTTGCCTTTGTCAAGTATTATTACAGCAACAAGAAAATTAGCTAATATAGGAGGCAAAAGAAGCCACTTAGAGGCTGCCAGGGTGAGGGAATCTTCATTTCCTTCTGCCAGACAGTAGTATTAGAAGCTATGGCTGTAATCTGTTACCTGAAACAAGGATTCCAGAATAGAACATTTTTAACTACACCTCCTTGACTACCACTCTTCCCCTTCCCCATCTCCCAATGAGGGACTGGTCAACTAAGGAATTCACTTTCCTTTCAAGTTCCACGTCTACTTGCAATGTTCAGTCTTGAGAATCCAGGAACAGCAAAGAAAACATTAAACCTTTCTATGAGATCAGTTTATTATGAACCCCACCTGCCCATATTTATATTAAAAATAATAGCATTAATGATGTTACAGATTTCATAATTATACCATGAATAACATTTGAATGGCCTTAGAGATTAATCATGATTCTCAGACTTTTCTAACCAAACCCCCTAAGCATAGAAGAGGGCATAAAAGTTAGGAGGGGACTACAGCGGCATGAAACTTCTTTAAACCTCATATTTCATTTTTTAAATGTATGCCAGTATTCAATTGTATGGTATAATATGACCACTTATGTTTTTACCTAAATTAATATTTTAAATGTCTCCATGAAACAAAATGGGAGCCCCTGAAAGCTACACACTATGCTTATGATCCCTATGCCTTTGAAGAACTTTGGGACACTGTCACAAACCCCTCCAAGGAAACTGACCGATAAGAATGTATGTTTAGTCCAAACTCCTCCTTCTCCATCCCTGACATTTTTAAGTAAAAAAAATAGCCCCTACATGACTAAGAAATGTCCCCTAGGCCAGCAAGGTAGGACCAGAGACAAGGCATCCCTTCCAGCCATCTGAAAAAGAAGTAACCGACTCTGCCCAGAGATTTGAGAACCTCATGTCCCAGACCCTGCTGGCCCCTGCTAGACCACATATCTCCTCAGATGGAAAGTCACCTTTTAAGCACAGCAATATTACATGACAGATTTTTATGACATCATCTCTCTAAGTATCTCTCTCCAAGGAACACAAAATTCTTCAATATAACCTCACCCAGGCCTTCAAGAATTCCCCAGAATTCAGCAGAGTACAGCAATTTTGGCTGTTGATTGAATTTCTATTTACCCTGCCTCTCTTCTAAATGGATCTGCAGGTATGATAATGACTCATAAGATGGGAATAATACAGGGGATGGGACTTTCTCTGGGTCACAAGATAAACCTGAACAGTGACATGGATGGGGTCTCAGGTCATATTTACTGTCTAAACGAGGCCAAGTCTTATGTACCTGTCCTCACTGGATTGAACTTCTGCTCCCAGATGGCCACCTTCACTAACTTGCCTGAACTGCAAAGAAGTGTGGCTGGGTTGAACTGGGCAGGAGCTGGACTGGGCTGGGTCAGGCTAGACTGAAGTTGAGCTGGAGCTAGGGTTGCATGGGCAAAGTCTCAGAGAGTGTCTTGCTGAGCTCAGGAACATGGGTTTGAAAAGCTTCTAGAAATACCGAGCACGTTTCGTGCAGGGGCCCTGATTCAGCTGACCTTTCCTAAGGATGGGCAATTTGCTGACTGCGTGCTGGTGACCAATGGGCAGAAAAGCCTCCTGTTTCCCTCCAGCTGACTGCTGGGCAGAACTGAGGCAGGACTGGAATATCCTCTCAGTTCCAGCATCCCTCCTCTCAGAAGGACCCAGTGAGGATAAAAAGGAAGCCGACAGCAGCCCAGACAGTTATCAAAGTCCAGGCAAAAACTCAGACTGGAGGGCTAGAAACGTAACTCAGTTGGTAGAATTGCTTGCCTAGCATTCATGAATCCCTGGGTTTGATATCCAGCAACCTATAAATCAGGTGTGGTGGTACATTCCTATAATCCCAGTATTCAAGAGATAGAGGCAGGAGAATCAGAAGTTCAAGGTCATCGTTGGCTACACAGTGAGTTCAAGGCCATCCTGGGCTACATGATACCCTATCTCAAAAAAAAAAAATCAGATTGAGTCTTTGTTGTTAAGTCATGGTCTGCTGACTCAGCAGGCCATCATCTGTGATGGGAGGGAGAGACTCACTATCACTGAGGAGAGTCTGTGGGATTTCAGCTTTCTTAATCATTTATTCATTCATTTTCTTTCATGCATTCCTTCATCTTCTGGGACCCTCATCCTCTGCCAGCCATCTCACATTAAGACCCTGGTAACCAGCTCTGCTGTCACCTGGGTGGTGGCATTTTCCTCATCTGTAGCATGGCCGAGTTTAGCTGTGTGTGGTAGCTCATGCCAGTAACTGACTCGGAGCACTCGTAAGGTTGAGGCAGGAGGATTGTTCTGAATCTGAGGCCAATCTAAGCAACATAGTACATTTCAGACTAGCCTATGCTATAGTGTAAGAACCTATCTGTAATGAATTAGTTCTAAATGAACAAGGATAAACTGGGAGATTTTAAAATTCCTTTACCAGGACACCCAAGTTTACTGGTGCTAGACAGTGGAGGGTTACCTTGTCTGAGTCCTGAGGTGCTCCTTGGCATTGCTGCTGGCTCTCTGAGTGCTAGCTTTGCATCTCGCGCCCTGCAAGTCTATGGAGGGAAGAGAACAAGGAGCAGCCACCCTTACTGAGGTCTTTCTTTGTCCTAGGCTCCTGGCA